CCAGCATTAACTGCCCCTGGCCACTCCCACCCCTGAGGGCAAGCCCCCACTGCCCCAGTGTCTGTGTCACTTGGTCATACTAATATGCATGCATATAAGCCCTTTGGTTGATCTCTCACACCCCCTCCCCTGCCTTGTCCCCTAGATTGGGTTGTCTGCTCAATGCCACCTTGTCTCGGGATCCATTTTTGTTCATCAGTTTATGTTAATCATTATATCCCACATATGAGTGAGATCATTTGATATTATGCTTCTATAAAAAAGAAGGAACTTTTACCCTTTGCAACAGCTTGGATAGAACTGGAGAACATTATGCTAAGCGAAATAAGCCAGTTGGAGAAAGATAAATACCATGTATAGTTTAATGATATGTATTAATTACCATATAAGACAATAATTTATGCAGTTAGTGTTTATAAATTGCTACTCCATTATCCTATATAATAAAAGGGTAGCATGCAAATAGACTGAATGGCAGAACAACCAATCAAAGTGTAATATGCTAATGATATGCTAAGGTTGCTCAACTGCTCGCTATGATGTGCATTGACCACAAGGGGGCAGACCGTCAACTGGTCAACCAGTCGCTATAATGTGCACTGACCACCAGAGGGCAGATGCTTCTACTGGTAGGTTAGCTTGCTGCTGGGGTGTGGCCAATCGGGGCTGAGCGAGATGGGCCAGACAGTACCTGGAGCTCTCCCGTGGTCCCTCTCCGGCCCGATCATGGGGTCCCTCAGCCTGGCCTGCACCCTCTCACAATCCGGGACCCCTCAGGGGATGTTGGAGAGCCGGTTTCAGCCCAATCCCGCAGGCCACTCCCCTTGGGAGGGCACCAGATGCAGGGCTCATGGCTGGCGAGTGCTGCTGGAGCAGCGCGAGTCTCTCCCAATTGATTGGGACTGATTGGGCATGAGCCCGCAGCAGGCACAGTGGGGCCGGGATGAGTGGGAGCGGCAGGTAGGAGCTGCAGGCGGCGTTGGATGGCGGGTGTCAGCCCGATCCCTCCAGGCCACCAAGAGGGACTCCACCCGTGCACGAATTCGTGCACTGAGCCTCTAGTTTAGCTGTTCTCAACCTGTGGTTCACGACCCCTTTGGGGGTCGAATGACCCTTTCACAGGGGTTGCCTAAGACCATCGGAAAACACATATATAATTACATATTGTTTTTGTGATTAATCACTATGCTTTAATTATGTTCAATTTGTAACAATGAAAATACATCCTGCAGATCAGATATTTACATTACGATTCATAACAGTAGCAAAATTACAGTTATGAAGTAGCAACGGAAATAATTTTATGGTTGAGGGTCACCACAACATGAGGAACTGTATTAAAGGGTCGCGGCATTAGGAAGGTCGAGAACCACTGCTCTAGTTATATATAACAAAATAAATGCTGTGCATGTGTGTGTGCTCATGCACTTAAGTTTTCAGTGGTATTACAAAGCACAAACTTTGGCAGGGATCTGTGTCTGGGTCCCACATTCTTGCTCCTCTTAGACAAATACAATTTCTGATACTCAATTTCACTACTTGTAAAATTCCAATCATAAAAATTTCAAGATGATTCAATGTTATATCAAATATATATCCATGGATTTAAAACCAGGGATTTAAGTCTTAATATTGAGTGCCCACCCACTCCTTCTCAGCTCTTTATAATATGATTTTAATTCTTTATTCATTAAAAAAACTATAATTACCATTCAATATATGCAAAGTTTTTTAAAAATTTATTTTTAGATAGAGAGTGGAAAGAAGAACAAGAGAGTGAAACATCAATTTGCTGTTCTACTTATTTATGCATTCATTGGTTGATTCTTGAATGTACTCTGACTGGAGAGCAAACACACAGCCTTGGCATATAGGGACGATACTCTAACCAACTGTGCTACCCAGCCAGGGCACCATTCAACATAACCTCTTAATATAGAATCCTAAATTTTATCTTGACCAAATAACCAAATATTCCTGAAATCATCTTTTTCACACCAAATATAAAACAGTCTTACTATATTATATATTGAATTTTGAAAAATTAAATCACTGGCCCTTCGTGGCCCATAAATTAAATGTACACCATATATGTTTTGAAAGTTACCTAACAGTTGCATTCTTAAAATTTTTATATATGTGTATATTTGGAAACAACAGTCAAAATGAAGAAAGTTATCTAAGTGTATATTTTGTGCCCTAGCCAGTTTGGCTCAGTGGATAGAACATCGGGCTGGGACTTAAGTATCCTGGGTTCTATTCTGGTGAAGGCTGGGGGCACATGCCCAGGTTGGGGGCTCAATCCCCAGTAGGGGGCATGCAGGAGGCAGCTGATGAATGATTTTCTCTCATCATTGATGTTTCTATCTATCTCCTTCCCTCTCCCTTCCTCTCTAAAATCAATAAAAACATATTAAAACAAATAAATGTATATTTTGTATTGAGTTTAAACATCAAGACAGTGACCAAGAAAAATATACCTTTATGGTAAATAAGATTTTGCAGATATAGTTTTATCAGTTAAATATGCACATGTCACCCTAGCTAGTTTGACTCCGTGGATAGAGCATTGTCCTGCAGACTGAAAGGTCCCAGGTTCAATTCTGGTCAAGGGCACATGCTTGGATTGTTGGCTTGATCCCCAGTAGGGGGCATGCAGGAGGCAGCCAATCAATGATTCTCTCTCATCAGTGATGTTTCTATCTCTCGCTCCCTCTCCCTTCCTCTCTGAAATCAATAAAAATATATTTTAAAAATATGCACCTGTCTTTCTGA